ATGATGGATGTCTCTAAGTGACATTTCACCTAAGTGACTATATTTCCATCAGCTGACCTAGCCAGTCACCTCATTAGCTGTCAGTCATGCTAATCCTAAAGAATTCTGATACTGAGGAAATTACTGCTTAGTTCTGCTGATTGTTTTTAAGTGCTTACCATGGACATCTGACATCCTTGATTGACATAAGCCCATATAAATTCAGAAATCTAGAAGGACAAAAGGAATGGGTCCACGTGGTATGTACTTTAGCCTACAACTATTGAATACTTGTAAATTTACTAATTTTTTTCATGATAAACTGAATAAAGGATACTGTTCCTTTGTATAGGCTCCTGTTCCGACACATACAGAGGACTATATAGAGAAGACCATGACGATGCAGTAACAGCCTATGCTAATGAAGTGAAACTTCTTATAGAACGAGCACATGAGAGAGGCAGAAAGGTAAAAAGTGGGTTTCTCCATTATTTGTCTTGCCTTAGAAACAAGTATAAGTGGCTGTCTCTGCCATTCAGTAGTGGTGAGCTATGTAATAGAGATTGGTATAAAAGCAAAGAGCAAGTAATGAAGGATATTTGCAAGAACTAGCTCAGGATGAAGAGCTTGGAAATTGTTAATTCAATTCCAGTGAGCTCTGCATGCATTCAAATATTGCCTATTATATGTGTTTCAGATTGCTGCCTTTTTCGTTGAATCTCTGCCAAGTGTTGGTGGTCAAATAATTCCACCAGCTGGCTATTTGCAGAAGGTTGCAGAGTAAGTCATCATCCATCATTCTTTAAAATACCTACTAAAACCAGCTGATAGGAAGCTTCCTGCCTACTGTGGTATATAGCTTGTAAGCATTAAAAAAACCCTCCGTATCTGCCTTTTCTATATTAGAATGTAATTTTATAGGGCAAAGACCTATTTTTAAAAATGCAGAATGTAAAGCTGCACAGGTTAATTTGGTTAATGCTTGTAGGGTAATGATTTCTGAATGTTCTTAAACACTAAATATTATGTTCTGTTTCCTGTTAAAAGTACAATAAAACCTGTTCTGTTACAGGCACGTGCATAAGGCAGGCGGGATAGTTATTGCTGATGAAATTCAAGTCGGATTCGGCAGGGTTGGCAAACACTTCTGGGCCTTCCAGCTTCAGGGAGACGATTTTATACCTGATATTGTCACTATGGGAAAACCCATAGGAAATGGGCACCCTCTTGCCTGTGTAGCAACAACAAAAGAAGTTGCAGAAGCTTTTGCAGCCACAGGAGTGGAATATTTTAATACAGTAAGAAAAATCTCCTTTTCTACAGTCTGAGTACTAAGACCATGCCAGACAATCATGCACTGTGTCATTAATGCTCATAGTAACCTTGCAGTTACTATGTTTTATTTATATTTTTCCACTGTAGCACTTATATAAGCAGCCTGGCACTTACAGTGGATGGAGTCAGGACAGTCACTGAGGCTACACTTTTAGTGACAACACTGCATCTTCTCTGTCCCTGTCTGTAATCTTTTTTTGAACTCAGTTTGGAGGAAACCCAGTTTCATGTGCTGTGGGCCTAGCTGTGCTAGATGTGATAGAGAAAGAACACCTTCAAGCTCATGCCACAGAAGTGGGCAACTTCATGATGAACTTACTCCATGAGCAGAAAATCAAGCATCCCATCATTGGTGATGTCAGGTATGAGTACCTTGCTGCTTTTTAATTTAGTTCAAGGGAGCAAAACAGCTGAAATCCATCTGATGTCATTTTATGTGACAGTATTTTTAAAGAAATTCATCACTTGTGTTTTCAGCAAAGAAAAAAGCCTGTAGTAGATTAAATCAGTAGCTTGGGCTGATCAAAATCCTGATCTGCGTTGGCACTCTAAGCCAGTATTGCCTTATTGATTTCACCACAGAAGACATACTTTGATTTATTGGTTGCTAAAGGAATTCAGTTTCCTGTTTGAATTCTACCTCAAGTACACAAAGAAGAAAATTAATGGGTTGGGTGGAAAATGTCCTTAAGAGCTAGAAGAAGCAGAGAAAAGCTTGTAATACACTGCATTGCTGCAAAACAGTACCCCTTTTCCATTGCTATCCAGGAAAAATTAGAAATTCCCATGCCCTTAACGCGTGTTACAGTTCCTTCTTCTGACTGCAGTTCCTTCTTTTGCTTTAAAGGGGTTCTGGCTTATTCATTGGCGTGGACTTAATTAAGGACCAAGCAGAAAGGACCCCAGCCACAGCAGAAGCACAGTATCTGATAACAAGGTAAAAAAAATTTAAGTTTTTCAGCATACTAAGCAAGCCACCCAACTTCCAAGTAATCTGTCATGCAGCGGTTAATATAAGCCAACTACTACAGAAAGAAACCAGTCACTGCAGAAGGGTGGGATCTCAGCAACATCCCTGATGATGATTTTTGCATGTTTTACATGAGAAAGGAAAAACAGCCACTTAGACATAATATAATTCCTGTCTTTGTTTCTCTCTCTCTAGGCTTAAGGAAGAATATATTCTACTGAGCACAGATGGACCAGGAAGAAATGTGCTTAAATTCAAGCCCCCCATGTGCTTCACTATGGAGGATGCAAAGTTTGTTGTGGATGCAATTGACAGAATCCTAACAGGTAGTACAAGCAAAAAGCACACTGCTTTACAGAGTAGCTGATGTTCTGCCTTAAAGTCAGCTCGGAGCAGCTAAGCCTGCTTTTCCACAGTCCTACAACAGAGGTGGAAAAGGTAAGTGCTGAGCACTTACAAAGTCTTAGTTTTGCAACTTTTCATCTTTACTTCTACTTTTGTTAGGAAACTTTACAGCAGAATTAGTTTATTTACTAGTACAAATTGTACAAGACTTTATAAATAGTTTCACTGTGGTACAGGCCAAAGTGTTTCCCTGTCTGAGCAAGCGAACTGGTAAGTAAAAACTTTTGTCACTTTGTATCAAACTTGGACAGTTTTAGCAAAGTTAGTCTAAAAACTTGTCTTTCTATTATGGATTTGCTGAGTTGGTGTGTAATGTCTTTCTAGATATGGAAAAGCACTGCCTGAGCCAAGAGGAAACATCCTCCTCTTTTACTTGAACAGGTATTTTCATCATTTACAAGTATTTCAAAAAGGTTAGGAGACTGTTAGACAGTGGCAGCAGAGCAGGACCAAATTTCCTCAGAGATGTTCTTTTACAGGGAATTAATTTGTTGGGAGTTCTAGCAATCTAGAAGCACAAGCGAGATTTCTATACATCTGGCATTCACAGCTAGTTTCTGTCATACAGTCTGACACTTCTAGTAACACTGTTTTTTCATTTGTGTGCAAGTTTGGTCCAATATGTCCCAGAAATGCTTACTGGTAGCATGCTGTGCTTTGTCAAGGAAGCTCTGATAGAGTAGCGGGCACATCAGTGGTTACTCTATCACCACATGCACACCAAGACACATACACAATTCTTACACTAGCTGGTCACTATTTTCACCAACTTCAGACACAGTTACAGCTTTGTACAGTGTTCAGTTATAGTCAACAGGGTAACTACCTGAGCAAGCTTTCTCCTAGTTCCCCTTAGGGAACATGCTACAGGATGCTACTCTCCACATGCTGCAATTTGGGAACCTCCACTTAAGCTAAGACAGTTTTATGTAGTGCTGCATATAGTACTTGTGGTACTGTAGCTCATATTTTACTTTAACATCAACATCCTGTGAGTTCGTTAAAAGGAAAATGCCTCACAGAAGGCAGTGTAATTTCCAAGTTAAACAAACTCACAGGATCATTTCAGGTTCATGGCTGAACTAGACTCAGAAGTTCACTTGGGCATCAGCAGGACTCAGCTCTTAAGGTTTGGAAGATTAAAACACCTGATGCCTCTTGAGGCAGCTCTGGAGCTTGCTCACAGAGGACATCTAGGTGATACTTAATTTTGCCACATGTCCAGAGCATATACTTGTTTCCATTCGTAATTCCTCACAACCCCCACAACAATGCATCACATTCCAGTACACCTCTAACCTACTCTGCTGAAAAGATAATTAAGTGGGTTTTAACCAAGTAAAGCTCTGGCACCGCAATATGAACACACCTTATGTAAGTACTAGAAATGGCCTTAACCCCACACCAGATTCACAACTGTCCCTGGCCTAAGGAGCAAAACACTGCACTAGAATAGAAGCATCTCATAGCAGGCACAAGAAAAATGTGTTAATATTTTATTTAGCAGATTAATGGTAAGACATACAGCTGTTTGTACTACTTAGTCACCAGTGCCAGTTTAACTCATTGAGGCCTAATGACTTGATAAACTTTTTCAATCTAAACTAAGCAAGGAAAAAAAATGCATTTTCTACATGAAAGCAAGAATGCAAAATGCCTCTTAGCAAATTAGCAATAAAAATTGGCACTTACATATTACGTAAGTGAAAGTGAGGCCTTTTTTAATGATGCTTTTTTACAAGAAAACATTTTCTTTCCATAGGTTTCAAGCAATATTCAAGATCTACTACTAAGAAACATTACTGTAATAATGCACATTTAATCAGTCTAGCATGTCTTAAACCAGATAAACTACCTTTGATTTTGCTATTTTCAGTTATCTTGCTATTTGTAAAAGCTTCAGGAGAAATAAATTTTACAATGGCTTGTTTTAACTGTGACAAAGCATGGGATTAGCCTTTATTTAACATCCTATCTGAAACTGGTTATCAGAGAATCTATTTCTAGTAGCTATTACGAACTACATTTTCTAAATTCATAATACTTCACGTTATGACTATTTGAAAATTAAGAGAAGCCAAAAGGTTTATCAGACCTCCTGTTTTTGTCATCTGCTGCTGCCTACATCAACTCCATTCTTTCTGCCCATGCATTCGGTCTTTTCCTGGCTCTTCTGACAAGTCTCAGAAGCCAGTTTCATGCTAAAGAGGTCCCGGTAGCACTACCTTCAGCAGGACAATCTCAAACAGCAGGTTAGGTCAAAAACATCAGTCTCTAGTTCATGCCAAAGAAGAACAGAGCAGTGAGGACCAGAAGGCTCTCAAGGCTGTTCTTAAGAAATACTCTGTCCTCAAGAAATATCCAAGTAGGTTTAGTGAATGAGAGCATACTACAGCCATGAGAAACACTTGTGTCCAAGTCTCTCTTTACCAGGTACTTACATCTTCTTGCATCAGACTTTTCACACAAGGAGAAAGCCAACTCTGCAACAATATGCTAGCATCCTCAGCATCTGCCTTGGGCTGTATCACCTGGTAAGGAAGCCTTACCTGAGGACCTACTTCCAAAAAGAACTAATATAACAGCCAGCTAACAAGCTGCTGTTAACACACTAGCCAGGAATGCTGCTGCCACTACAGTCCAGGTAGATTTTTATGCACATTTCCCTTTAGAGGGCAAACTGCCTTCTAGAAAAAGATTCTGCTGCCTCTTAGTTCACAAGAAACCAAGTAACAGGATGCAACAGTTAAATATCTTTATTTTCATTCTTCAAGTGTGGAGACAGAAATACTTAAAAGTACTGCAATCACTTGTTTTAAGGAACTGCAGTTTTGCATTTTCTTTATGGCTGGACATTAGGTTACATATTCCAGCTATAAAGCTGTCATGTCAGCTCTCAGACAGAAGCTGATTTGAAATCTTAGACTCAAGAGTATGAACTCTTGCATGTATGAACAAGTCTTACAGATTTCTAACTTTATAGTTAGAAGTCTTGCTCAAGGACAGCCAGTAGGGAGCAGCAGATTATAAATTCCTGCAGCAATAGCTGCATCACTTGTATAAAGTTGAAGAGCTCACAAATAACACCCGTTTTCCTTGTTACTTAGTTTACTTCCACCCATGTTTCCTGTTCATGCAAAGAGAATTCATTACAAGAAAAAATATTTTAGCTTTAACAGGGAAATAGAATCAAACTGATTACTGCAGCAACTAAGTTTACTTTGGGCAGCAGCACTTTATGAAGCTACATTTGGGTGAGAATTCTGCAGCAAGATAAACCAATTATGTAAGTTATTTCCTAAAAATAGTAAGAAACTAGTCAGAAGAGGAGACTATTTCTAGCTGGTCACTTATCTTGAGAGAGCAGACACATCTTTAGAGGCAACGTTGTTGTTTTGCCTCCCACAACTTTAGTGGAAGTTCCTCAGCCTTTTCTGGTACACAAAAAAAGGCTGCAAAATTCAGACTTTGCATTGGTAATTTCATTTCCTACCTAACCTGTCTTTCAGGGCAAGTATATGAAACTTGCATAAATCCCTCAGACTTTTAAACAGTAAACCATGAGTGCAGCTAGCTCTTAACACACTTCTCATTCCTAGCTGCCTCCTGTCTAGACTCCAAACATAAAGCCTCTGCTTCCACCTGCAAGAACCCTGCACCAGAGACTAATACCATTACACTGAGCCACTGCACTTGCCTCGGACAGGAGCCAACCTCACTCCCGCACAGCCACCACAGCAGCTGGGGAATTCCACCCGAGTGCTATTCTGTAGCCTCCAAGCAGCAACCACAGTGTTTGGCTGCCCCTTATCTGCAAGGGAGCACAACTACCAACACAGCCCTCTCCTTTAAGAGCATTTAAGCCCAGCTTTTCATCTAGGTACTGCTGCAAACTAAATTCTGGGAACAAAAATGCTGGCATTTTGCTAGTACATAAGCTGAAGAATGGCACAAGACACTAGATTACGCCTTTTTTATTTCAAAAGCTAGGATAGCTTCAATATCCATGTCATGGTGAATCAGAACACATGTAAAATACCTTACAATACATTAGATTCCAAAAAGGTACCAAAAAGTACAGTAAAATTAACACTTCCATTACAGGAAATGTATGACACAAAAACAATACAAAATAAAAAGGTGGAAAGTGACACTGGTTCCCTAAGATGCATCTCATTCTGTACAACTGGAGTAATGCAGAGTCCATAGTTAACTCCAAGAGGCAGTCCCTAGATGCAGAGCTGCAGCTTTAAGCAGACCCTCAAAATCAGTTTCAGTTTAACCTATTAATAAAATCATTAATTAATATCTTCAGCAAGGCTGAAATTTACACACCACACTGTCTAGACAACTAGTATCTGTAAGTATTAAACATGTAAAACATTTCCAGGGAGCTCTTCCAAGTAAGATGCACATTTAACAGGCCATAGAAATTTATTGTAAAGTTAAATTTGGTACAGAACTGAAATATCCATCTACAGCATTGTATACAAAACCTATGCAGTCATTTTCCAAAAGAGACCATGCCACTGCATACCTGAATAAGTTTGATCAATATGGCTTGTAGTTATTCTGATGGCCACCACGTCTTGGTGTCTTCCCATAATTTGCACTGCCTTGACCTATGAACAAGAAAACAAATGCATTAAACTGCTAATTAGTTATATTTGCTGATACCCAATACAGTTCTCTTTACTTACTGTAATCATAGCCTGGTCCATATCCATAATACCCATATCCTGAATAATCATAGCCTCCATAGCCACCATAACCTTGCTGATAGCCGTATCCTTGATTCCCATAACCCTGGTTCCAGTAATTGCCATAACCTTGATTCCAATTTTGACTTTGAGCTATAGAAGGGAAAACCATCCACAAAATCCCATTTTAGTACACACAGCTTATTTTTTAATGTGTCCATACTAAAGTAGTGCGCGTAGTACTTACCACCGCCTCTTCCACCTCTGCCTCTTCCTCCATAGCTACCTCTTCCGCCACCACTACTGAACTGTTGCTGCTGGTAAACTTCTTTTGGCTGTGCTACCTTAATCTCACACTGAAATAAAAACCAAGGAAGAGTATGTATATTGTCTTATAGCAACACTGCCCAACCCAGCCCCCTAGGAAAGCCAGGGAAGTTACTCTGGAGGCAAAGGATCAGTACTGTGCTGTGCTTCCTGTCACCAAGACTACCGTGCACATCCAAAAGCACTGGATTTTGTGCTGCCTGGGCAAAGGTAAGTCACAATTAACTGTTTCAAGAAGGCCACTACTTTCAGGCACTTCTTACTGCCTTTTCCTGACCACCAGCTTCCCTATGGAAGAGGTAGTGCCCTGCCTAGACACTGCTATTCCTGCAGAAGCCCCAAGACTAGGCTGCTGCCCAGACCACTTCCCCTGACCTGCACTAACTGAAGGGCTACTAAGGCTCCAGGAAGCCAAAAATGACTTTCCCTAGCAATCTTGCTATGCCCATTCCACAGGGCATCTATGTTGCACTGTGAAGCAACACTTCAAAATATCACCTAATATGAACACTAGTTCCTAAGCTGCAGTTGAGACCATGAGCCAGCTCCTACTTCCTGAGTCAGTGTATGGCTGAATCTGAACCTGCTAAGATTGTCAGAGAAACTCCCTGTGATGACATCACCTACACAAAGCTGGAGCTCCCCGTGCAGAAGATTCCAGGTAATCTTTTTTTTTTAATCACTATGACACAAATATGCCATAATTACATATATTTCTCAGCTCCCTTTGCACAATTCCCTTTGTTTCTTTTCTTCTGAAAAGAAACTATTGCTAACTGCAGTGTCATGATAGCTACCAACGCACTAAGTCTGCCCAGTGTTTACTCTGGGCTATGTCAAGACCAGTTTTAAACTAGGGGCAATCTAGGTCACTGACAGGCAACAAACAGGTCTTGTGAGCTTTGAAGTCACAGTATGTGGCAGACACTGGCCACCAAGACAGGGAAGGGACCCAGCCAGCACTCATTCTTTGCCTCCAGCCCTTTCTTCATTAGTGTGACACCCAAATCGGTGGCCTATGACTCCTGTATACTTATTAGCTATGGCACCAGATAGCCACTGACAGCTGCTCAGACCCTCTCCCACCACTTTTACTTCTGTTCAAACGGTCTTGATCATGTCACTTCCAAAGACTCCTAAAGAGACTGGGCACAAATTGCAGTGAGCAGACAGTCACACTGTGGTTCTGCAGCTAGCACCAGAGCAAGCACTGAGTTTCAAGTGCTCTATACTGAAAAAAAGCCAAAGTTTCATCTGCTACAATGGATAGTGCTGCTATATTGGGACATCAGCACTATATTCCTCTATGTATTTCACCACAGTGCTAACACACTTAAGACCACAGATCTTTTACATATGAAAAGCCTTAACACAGAACACAGCGGAGCCACAACTGCTGGCAAAGAACCGCAGCAGACTGAGAGCTAAACTTATGGCAAAAAGTCTGTTGTAAAGAAAGAGACAACCATCCTTATTGTGATTTCGGTACCTTGAAAGCAAAAGTCTAGAAAATCCTTCTCAGGTTATAGACAGAGTGGTTGTTATGCTTGAAAACTTGGTCAAAGATCTAAATTCAAAGTTTCTACCTTGCTTCCACTGACGTTATGGAATTTCTTCTCCAAGATCTTCTTCACTGGATCCTCTTCCTTGAAAGTGATGAACACAAAACCCCTCCTTTTGTTGGTCTTTGGATCCATGGGAAGTTCAATCGCTTCAATCTGAAGATATGAAAATATTACTTCAGACTCATTTTAGGACAATAAAGTACATATTTGCGGCAGGAAAACTGAAACTAAGTCTCATAGTTTTCCCTCTTTCCTCAATCTATGCGTATTATGCTATACCAAAGTTAAATATTCTTCCCTATTTTATCTCTATATTGTCTCTTTGACTTTCAGACCAGAGGTTTCAAGTTTACACCATTTTAACATGAGATTAAATGAAATGAGTCATTAAAGACATGCTATCTTCCCCAGCAGTGAAAGCATTCAGTACAGTATCTGCTTTCTGTGCTTTCAAGATGAGAAATTTCTCATCACGGGTCAGTTGAGAGATGCGGTGCATCTGAACAGTTAAGGTACTCTGAGGCATGCAAGCAATTAGTTCACTAATTTCTGTGAGTGACTGCTCTATTTCAGTGGCTACCAGGATAATCTTACACACCTCTCCAAACTCTCCAAAGTATTCCCTGATTTTCTCTTCTGTGGCTTCTGGGTTAAGTCCGCCAACAAATATTTTCTTCACTGGATCCTTTTTCATTGCCATGGCCTTCTTGGGGTCAATTAATCGTCCATCTAGCCTGTGTTCTTTCTGTTCCAGAACCTGAAAGACAGTTTGGTAAGATTATCTCATCTGGAAAGTCCCACTGTAAGTTAGGAAAATGAAAGATGAATCTTCAAATCACCTTTTCAACACTTCCAGGTTCTTTGAAAAGAATAAATCCAAAGCCTCTGGATCTTCCTGTGTTAGGGTCCATCTTTATCGTACAGTCAGTCACCTCACCAAACTTGGTGAAGTAATCCTTCAAGTCTTTTTTGCTTGTATCCCAACTGAGGCCACCGACAAACATTTTCCTGAAATTTCAAGGAAATGAAGAGCCAGTTAGGTACAAGAAATACTAGAGAAAAAGCACATTCACCAAAATGCTCATACACATCACAGGCATTGTCAGAAACAGGACTAGCTGTAAAGGTATTTTGCCAAAAGCTATCAATGCTACAGGACTGCACAAGGCTTTTCCTCTCTAATGTATATTTCAGTTTAGCACAGACTTCAGAAACAGTAAAAATTTCCTAAAATATTCCCCATCAATAACTTACATTCTTTCAACAGTATTTATAAAGTAGCACTGACCATAAAGTACTGCCAAAGTACTGCCAGGCTTTGAAGAAAAAAATGGAGTCATTCCACTGATTTGAAAGCAGTCAGGCTACTGAAGGGCAACAAAAGCAAAATATTTCAGCTCTATTGCCATTTGGATAAATGGTTATGAAAATTATAATCCCCAAAGCCATCTGCACAATTTAAATCAGGTATTTGTGACCCCTGAGAACAGTCTCATACAACACACAGAACTTTGGACCCGCCTGTAACCAGCTGGCTATACACTTCTTCCTGCTTAGCTACTGAATCTTGTTATATTTCATCAGCACTATGAATTCAGACTATTAAGTCTCTACTTTTATGATGGGCTACATGCAGTACTTCCCTGCCCACCTTCTCCACACAGAATAGCCTCCGGAGTACATCAGAAGAATAACTACCAGCAAAATAGGCAACACAGAAGTGAGGCTAGTAAACAACAAGGTCAACTAGTAAAGCACTTCTCAAAAGCCTCATTTCTTCAAAAGAAAACATTAATAGCATGACTATTTTCTTTTTTCAGAGTTTCCAAGGTAACAAACTTCAGCTTTTAAAAATCATTTAAGCCTTTTTCTAACTGTAGACTAAATCAGCTATTACTCTGTTTAGAGGCCATCTTTATTTGCCACTAGAAAACTCCTAACTAAGATTGACTTTTGGTGCCATTGTGTACTTGGATTTGCTAAAGCTAGCATCTGTTTATTCTCAAAAGGCAATATGAGAAAGTACATAGGTTTTTTTTTTCCCCCCCTTCAACTAAAGGAAATATCTTCTAGGCTGAGCCTGCAATTTTTTAGAAACTGTGTACACTTAACAGACAAGAGTCTGACCAAAGTGTGTGTGTGTGTTTTCCTTTTTAGAAAAATTTCAAAAAACCTCATAGAAAACATTTTACATGTTTCCTACAGCTTTCACCAATAGGTCAAAGCAAGGTAACTTGTTGGCTTTGTTCCTACAAGAACAGCTTACTGATCAAGAAGAATTTTGCAAGGCTACTGTTATCTGTACAGACTCATAGTATTTATGTATAACACTCCCCAACATCACTGACTGCAACTACAGATCAAGAAAAATGGTGGTAGGGTTTTTTTTTTTTTTTTTGGGGGGGGGGGGGGGCGCAGAACACAGACATCTACCCACTTAATTCTGAACCAAAGATAGGGCTATACACAGCTACTGTCACATGTTAAGGTCACCCTCTTATCCCAGCAGCAGATACAAAATGGGACTGTCAGTTAAAGTGTAGTAAGCCTTGTGATCAATACCTGGGTGAACTTAATTAAATAACACATGGTAGAACCTTCAAAATATTGCAGCTAAAATCATCTTAGAGGTTATTTTGCTTCCCCTTCATAGGGGCACACTGACTGAAAATACAAACATAACACTGTACTTTCAATGTATCAGTGCTATAACCAAAGGTATGTTTCAGCTATTAATAAAATAGTTAAAGTGTTGGTGCCTGAGACTGCTATGATTTTTAAATATTAATTTTCACACAGATGAATGCCGCTACCTTTTCTTGCAAATGGCCTTTCACATACATTTGGGGAAAAATGTCATCTCCTATGTAAAAAAGGGGGAATAGTGTTCCACTCTGAAAAGCTCTATCAAAGAAGAGGGGGAAAGAAACAAGAAGCTTGTAGAGAACTTGCAGGTCTCAATCCTCCTGGGGGGGGGGCGGCAAAAAGGATCCTATCCTGTCTGAGCTCATGAAATTAGTCTAAGTCTCTCTTCTTCCCTTAAAGCTAAAGTTTATCGTTCTATTGTGGCTAGAGCATTTTGCTGAATCTGAAGCAAGCAGCCATAAATAAAAGGGCTGTCAGTAGTAACAGTTCAAATTAAATACACCAGGTCACTTAAATCAAAGACCACCTGAAAAAAACATGGAGGTTGGGGGTGGGGGGATGTGATCATGTATATCTATGAGTATATATTCATAATAAATATGAACAGGTCAGCCACCGTAAGTTTAATTCGTGCATAAGATACAGCTATGAAAGTAAACTCCCCCAAGTCCTCTCAATAATGCTAAGAAATAGGCCTTTTTCTGACAATGCCGCTCGAACCGCACTAAAAGCGCTCTCACTGTTTTGGACCCAGCGTACACCCCCTCGACCGCACTATTTTCTCCTTTACTCTCCCCCCCACACCACGGAGCTCACCAGCGGTTTCCAAGCCCAGATCGGTTCTTTTTCTACGTATTAACCAAAAGGGCTCGCGTTGACACCAACAGCGGCACAAACCACACGCGCAAGGGCCATAAAGTTGGAGCCAACCCCCCCCCCCCCCCCCCGCGGCCAAAGGCAACGACTCCTGCCCCAGCCGGCTCCCTCTAGGAGAAAGGGAAAACAAAAGCGGAGCCGGGGAAAATCCCCTGCCATTTTCCAGCGTGCGACGGCAACCAGGCCGCCCGGGCGCCCCTCCCCCCGCCGCCACATGGCGCCAACAAAAGGCAGCTCCAGAACAAAGGAAGCGCTGGGGCTGCAGCC